ATATAATTAAACTGTGGTGGCACAGTGGAGCAGTGGCTGGAGCTGTTATCTCTCACAAAGAGCATCACACTATAGTATGAATGTCCTTTCTAACCCTAACCAAAGTGTACTCTGGCTTTCTCCCACACATCCAAAACATACATGATAGATTAACTGGCACATACAGTACATATATTTCCCCTTTGTATCAGTAGTTGTCTGTCTTGTTTGTCTCCAAGTGTCCATGTGATGGACCTGCAACCTGTCCAGGTTGTACCCACCTCTCGCAGATGACTGCTGAAGATGGGAACCACCTTATCACCTGAAAAGGACAGGCAGATAAATAACATGAATTAACTGACTGATGGTGCTTGAATTACGATCAGAAAAAAAAAGTATGCTTAATAGCCATCCTGGGATAATCCCACACCTGCTTATAYGCTGTCCAGGCTTTCCTGAGTTACATAAGCTTGTTTCTGTCAGTGCTTTTGATAAGCCAATTTGTAGATTCWTTTTTTTTCTTCTTTCATCAGGAATTTTCCAGTTTTTTAGTGATAAAGATCATATTAAAAAAATCAGATAAGGAAACAAAATACATGTCAAACATCTCTTCCAACAATTTTCACAGTAGCATAATTTTTAATTTTTTTTAATCAAATACACTGCGAAAAATACTGCTGAGTGAAAGTTTGTCTCTTCACTGACCCATAAACTAATACAAACACTTAGTGCGTTCGGCAACATGCACTTGTCACATCACAGTTATGTCTTTAGTTATTTGTCCACATGCTTACAGCAGTGAGAGAATGGAAGCAGAGGGCATGACTGTGCTCTTGAAAGTGGCCCCTTGATTAGCAACCACTCATTTGGGATGTTCTCTGGCAAATCAGCAGCCATTCAGATGACAAAGGCCGCTGCTGAAAAAGTGAACAGCTGTCACTGTGTGATGTGTTAATTTCCTGACAGTTTCGGCGCTGAAACCAATTACTGATTTAAGGGCAGGAAGAGAAAAGCCCTCTGCATACTCTCATTAGGCTCCTGCAAGACTGAAAGGATAAAACGAAAACAAGGAGAGAGAAGAAGGGAAACCATACTGGGAAATAAAGGATGAAATAAACTTGTGCACACTTGCTGTCAGTTGAAATTTTGTATGTACAAATTGTCATCTCAAAATAATTAAAAACACATACAACTACCAGAGTCACGAGTCTCTCCCATGAACCACACATTAGTAAAATAATATTTTGTGGGACAAAATATWTTTGGGGTTTTTCTTTTTACATGGTGAAGGAATAAACTCAGAGTACTTCTAATGAACTGTGACATTTTAAACTAAGTTTACCATCAATCACTTAGTTTTTATTTTAATCCTTCTAGATTTGTTAATTCAAAGTGAATATATACTTATAAATCAAAATAAAATGTTGACATTGCCACTCTGATATTATGTTTGGGAAATATTTGTTTTGAAGCTCAACATTTGACCATCTCTGTCTGGATTTGTTGGACACCAGAGCTCACAGAGTAAAAGGTGACCTTCAGTGTTTCTGTTTGCGACAGTTCTGCTGAAAGGGGCTATGACTTCTTGTTTATGGGCCATTTTCATGAAATATTTCTCCGGACGTTACCTGGATTTTATGTATTCATAAAAGGCAACATAGTACTGTATATTATAAAAAGAAACTAAAAGTCATACCATTAAAACACAGAGTCAAAATAGTTTAACATTTAAACAAATATTTTATTATTAATAAGARGCCAGTCCAAACAAAGAAAGCTGGGAGCTCCAGCCAAAATAAACAAAAGGAGAGATTGCCCTTGAACCAGCCAGGAGTTGACTGTCAGATTCAGGACACACCCCTCTCCGTGTGGCCCAGGATCTGACCCTGCAACCAAAAACCGTACCGGTGGCCGGTGACCGGTGACTCCCAAACTTGACAACAACTAAACACAACAGAAGTCAACAAGACATGAGCAAGAGCAAGGCCCACAATGTAAACATCCATCATCTGGTCTCCTTCGCTCCCTGAAGCGGCTTTCTCCTTTTAAACCTGTATCAGCTAATCAGCAAGGGGAAACACATTCWTTTAGAAAATATTCATTAGAATGATACCTGGTCACATTACAGGAACACATTTTCTTTGTGATAAGACTTTGAAAATAAAATGCCTAGAAATCTAATTTAGAGTAGCATTTTTATTGACTTTTTATTTTTTTTTATTTTTGCAAAGTTATTGAATATATGTTGTCGCCCCTTGGCCTTTTTTGTTTTGGTCTGAATGGTTCATAGACTATATTTAGGAAACAAAATTATTAATATTATTTTTAATGGTCAAGTACAGAAAACAAGTATTATAAATAAAATATGAACTGTTCACTTAACACAGTTCTTGGAAAGTAACGAATGCATGCAACAATAACTACATCAAAAATGTTCCTAGGTCAGTTCCACACATGAACATAAGCCTTTTAAATCAGCTTTTTATGCTCCTAACAAGAGTAAATGTGACCCAGTCATGGTCACTGATTGCTGTTAAATGAAAGCAGATATTAATGAGGTCTTGATGGAGCTGTTTTTTTTTTTTTTATCAAAAAAGCCTTGATGTTAAGAGCTAAAACAAGACAGTCTCATCAGCATCCTACCCAAAGTCTTTAGAGATCAAATTATGTTTGGATTTCAAATGAAAGAGTGACTTACACATATTCTCACAAGGATGAAGGGTGGGAGAAAAAAATAATTGATTGCTTGACTTCCTTACAGTCAGAAAAGACAGAGAATTGTAAAACAAACTCCAAAAAAGGGGAACAAGGCTTTTCTTTGTTCATAAATAGATGATTATTTTTAATTTCCTCAAATGAAATGCAGGGTGTCTCCCTTGAGATGCATTCTGCAACTTATTCTGCAGAGCTTGTGTATTTTATTTAGCCATGAGTAAACAAGCTTTTTTTTTTCTGACAGACTAACTAAAAAGACACAGAAAAACAGATGTTTGAAGTGTAAAAAAGAACATCTCCTAAATGAATACAGGCCAGATGACTCTCACACAATCTCTATAATCAACTTTTTACGGGCTACAATCTTAGATGTGCTTTAACAAAGACTCCTCTCACATAATTTGACCAGAGTTTTTTTTACAGCACAAAAAAATAGACATGGTTACGCTGAAATACTTGTGCATTATCAGATTGCTTTCTTTCTTTCTTTCTTTCTTTCTTTCTTTCTTTCTTTCTTTCTTTCTTTCTTTCTTTCTTTCTTTCTTTCTTTCTATTTTTTTATTTTAAACTTTTGATGACATCAATCTGTTTTCTATGTAAAAAAACAAAAAGGCCACTGACAAACATTTTTTTCCATAAGCACTACTGTATATAACACCACTTTTTACCATTAGCCAACAAGAGATTCCCTTTTGGCAATCTGCATATAGTCATCTAGATGAGGTGTCCTCCTCTGGACGATGAAAGCTACCCCTGGACAATAGTGTGGGAGGACAACTTGATTCTCAGGCTTCTGTATTGACTGGGACTGGAGCGGTGGTTCTGGCTGGCTGCTTCCCTGAGGTGAGTATTGACACCCAGGTTCTGGTTTGGATAGCAGGGTCGCAGGACTAGGACTCTCCTTTTTTGATTAATTGAGCCTTAGCCTTGATTAATTATGCCTCTGGCCASAATCTTCTTGCTGTAAACTCAAACTTTTACACAGTTATAAGTGGAGGCCTCCTGAAGAGAAATCAGCATGAAACAGCTTTTCTAACATTTTTGTTTTCTCCACAGAGTAGTTATTGGTAAGTCTTATTTGTTGTGAAGCATTGGTTTGTATTGCTCATAAATATTTCTTATTCACTAGTTTTTTTAATCTTCCAATTCATTTTAGCAATTTGTGACTTCATCAACCTGTAACAGTAAAATGTGTTGCAACATAAATTTGTTGCACTTTATTTTCTGGTACTTTGCACTTTTATCCTCACATCTTTTTTTTCTCTGGTTTTAGTGCATGTCAGCTATATACTAATTAAGGAATAGACCTGTGGTGCTCTAGGTGATGCAAGTATGTACACATGTAGAGACAATTTTAGACTGAAAGGTAGATAGGGTGGTAACTTCAAATGCTAATGCAATTTCTTTAAATTAAATAAATATATAATTCCTGAGTCATCATTTACAGCTCATTGCACCACTAAAAGTGCTATACTGCATAAACTGGAAACTCAGAAGAGTAGCCCTCCTTTCCCCTTGCCTTTATACTTGTTTAAGGTAAGC